GCATCTTCCGCTGAGCAGAAAAGTCATCCCGAGCATCGTTACATTCGTACCTGATGTGAAAATACTTCATAGTCCGTTGATCCCGTTCAGTGAACTTGTGCGCCTCAAATGATTGATCCCACAGAGTAGTAATAGATGGGCGGAGGTCCTTTCCAGTTCGCCATGGCTTAAACAAAGTAAGCATGGTCATGCAATACTGCTCACGGCTACCAGAATCTTTTCGGGGAAGAGACCCACCTACAAAGTTGGGAACAAAGGCTTCATTTTCAGACATCAGTCTAGCATGATGGGTAGAATGGTGTGGGTGGTTTGCATGGAACTTGAAGTGCTTTTGTGGGATAGTAGCCTGGATTTCCTTCTCCAGTTTCATATTTGATTTAGTGGTGAGCAGCAGCTCATCATCAGACTCCTCCTCCTCCTCCTCCTCTTTTTTGCTTGGCCCTGCTAGCTCATCTTCAGATCCAGACTCTTCCTCCTCTTTTGCTATAGCTGTGTGGCCTCCAATCTGAGCTGGCTTCTCTTCCTCACTGTCTGACTCTGATTCTTCTTCTTCTAATCCTGGGTCTACATTATAATCATCCTCAAACTCACGATCATTGTCAGTAAAGTACTGGCTAGGATCTATGTCATCCTCAACCTGGTTGTGTTTCTTCTTAGGCCGTGGAAGACGCTTCTTATCTGACAGCCTAATCCAGTCGTACAAGCACACAGACTCATACTCTTCAGGTCGCCAAACATAGTCCAAACAGGAGACACTGCTACAATTTCTGACTTCAAGGCAGATTTCTTCATGCCTAGCATCACTTTTGACTTTCCCTCACGGTCAATAGCATCAGAGTCTTCCCAGGCCTTCATCACCTCAAAAACATATCCCCTCCAGTAGCATATTCTGAACCTGTGGTTTGTATAGTGGTCTGGATGCTTCAACAAATACATTGCAGCCATAGGTCCCCCAATTTCTGAAGCAGCAGTGAGTGCATTCACAATCTTAGTGATCATTCCACGGGCCTTTTCTCGATTGGTTTTCTGGCTGCCTAGAAGCTCGGTATTACGTGAGAACACCTCTTCAACAGAGCGGAACATCACATGCGTTTTAAGAGGTGTTTTTGTGATATAATCAGCCACATATGCAATCACAGACTTGATGGCAGTGCCAGAGAGCAAGCTGGTGACATCATGGTTGCACCGCAAAAGATATGATAGAGCAGGTGTAAATGTGTTCAACATGGGCTCACCCTTTTTCATGACTAGTGCACCAGACTCGGGATCAACTCCAGTAGACTCATGTGTCTCTCGAGGGAAGCGGGCCTTGCACACTTTGGTTACTGGGTCACGGCAGCCTCGGTTATCAAACTCTGACTTCTCAGTTGAAGCTGGCTTAGGTGGCTCATTTTCTGATAGCTGGTTCTTGTTTGCTTTCTTTTTCCCAGTGATTCTGTCTCTACATTTGTGCACATTGGAGAAATATAATATTTCATCCACCTCTGCCTCATATTTGACCCACCAATCTTTTTGAGCCTTGCATGCTGTGCATTTTGAGTCTGTTTCATGTTTCTCTGAGCAACTGGGAGGTGGAACTTCTGGTAGTGTCTCTGTGAGTGGCACTCGAGTAGGATTTGCCTGGGCAATCTCTGTCACATGCTTGTCTACAGTCTCCATAGTACCATTCAAAAACTCGCCCTTGTAGCAGCCCTCTAGATATTGCACCATAGCCTGCTGAAAGTCTGAGGTGGGGTCCAAAATGCGATCTCTAATCTCTTGTGGAGTGAGTGCACATTTAATCCACAGCAGCATATGCAAGTGCAGAGTCAAACGGCCCTGCTGTTCAACAGTTCCGTAGTACCCAGCTGTGTCACCATATAAACCAGGTTTACTAGTGCCCACTCCAAGAACGTGTTTCAGGAACAGGTCAACCATGACATTGAAGAAACGGGCACCTGCCACTGGGTTGTTTGCAATCAGATTGAGACGCTGATCCCTTGGTCTGAACTCTGGCATATATTTCTGATCAGTGTCTGCAAAATACAGTGCCAGAGGGTGTTTGACATCAGTGGGAGCAAATGTGATGAACCAGGAGGGTGCACCAAGATAAGATACCATTGCCCAGATCTCATTGCGCATATACTTTTTACTAGTAATAGATCCTTTCACCTTGTAGTTCACATGGTCCAAATCACTTAGGAGCCGGAAGCAAGCCTTTTCCTCCTCAGTCTCTGGTTTAAAACTTCCCTTAGACAGCCTATTAGCAAGCTCAGTCACAGTTTCTGTGCTGATATTCAGCAGTCTGTGTGCAATCTCATCAAAACGCTTCTTATCAGCAAGAAGATAGCCTGCACTGGTAGACTGCTTGATTTGCTCATGGTTCAAAGCAACCAAGGGAAACAATGGCTCAAGTTGGAAGCGTTTATCATGGTACATCAGCAACTGCTGCTTCCGCTTCTCTTCAGACACATTGATAGTGCCTTTCACGTTTTTTAGCCCACCATAGCCATATGGGAAGAGCCATGGAAACATTTGTGGGTAGAGCTGAGGATTGTTATAGATGCTCTCTGGATTTTTTTCCTGACCAATTCCAAGCACCTTTCCACCAGATTTGAAGTGTTCTACAGCTCTTGCCTTGATTTCATATGGTCTGATCTTCCCTAGATGTTCAAGACGTTCACCAGTCAATCCATGCACTACAAATGGACACTTTCCATCATCTACACCCTCTTCTTCCTCTATTCCAGTGACTGCAGCTGCCTCTGGATCAATATTAGACATACTCTTAGTCTGTGTATAGTTCACAATCACCGGAGGCTCATCTTCTGGATACTCTGCCAGATTTTTGTATGAAATGGTCAGATCTGCATAGTCAGAATGGTTGAGCTTAAGCCACTCGAGTGCAGCACTGACTTTCTTTTGCCTAACAAGCATAGGTGTGCGTTTGTATTCCTTTGCTGTGGGCACATTAGGACCCAGAAATATAAATGCAAGCACTTCATCAAGCTCGTCTCTAGGTGGAGGCAGCACAGAATATATTTTAGGCATAGGGAGAGAGTGGCTGACCACATTTGCCTTCATCTTAGACATTCCTGAAATCTGGACTTTTACTATACACATATTGTGCTTTACTCGTGCGATCAAGAGTTTTTCTGTCCAGCTCAAGTCTTTCAGAGCATCTGGTACCTCACCTATCCAAAGCCCATTTGCCAGACTGTTTGGAGGTAGCTTTCCAGAGAGTAAATCAGTGGCACATGACTGGCAGACATTATCACAGCTTGGCAGGAGCACCTTTCCTGGGACATCACAGATAGGATCTGCAATAGAAGTGCGCTCTACCCGTGTAACTGGCCTTTCTGGAATAAGAATATTGAGATCACATGTAAGCTTGCTGAGTGGTTGAAGTTCTGACTTGTACGTCAATAAGCCACAGACTGAACAAGCACCCTCTTGGAAGTTTCTAAGCTGAATGTCTGAGGCAAATCCAGTCATGATCTCACCTAACAACTGATTATCAGGAGGACTAGGTGGAAACTGGTGCTTTACAGACTTTGAAACTAGAGATTCATTCAAAGGTAGACGGCTTTAGCACGTTTAGTCTTCTGTTTTTTACTATTGGTTTGCACTGGCTCAGTTGGAACGAAGGAAGCTATGGATTCAGAGCATGATTCACAAGTGTGTGCTATTAAAAGACTCATCAAATAGGTTTTGGTTTGCTTAACATTGGGAGAAAACTTGGGTATATGCATTTGAGCAATTTGAGTTAAATCTGCCTTTGAAGTCTCAGGATCAAGTGTGATAATGGTATTTTTACCAATATGGCACACTCCGTCTTCACTATCTCACTGGAAAACACACATTTATGATAGCGGTAGTTCATATTCATTGCTATTTCACCTTGAACTGGATACCTTCGGAGTTCACTTGCTGTCCACCACTTCCCTCTGGTATTCTTGGAGGGAATAACAGCACCACCAAATTGTGACAATCTCAGAGTGCTAATAGGCTTAGAAGATGTTTCAACTGCTATCTGAATAGAGTAATATTTGCTCTTGATAGCAGCCCAGAAGTCATGCTTAAGCATGCAAGTCCGCATAAACAAAAGTCTAATAAGCCTCACTTGAGACCGTGGAGAGTTCCAGGTCAAGTATAGTGATACACTAGGCTGCATATAGCCATACATAGACCCAGAATAATGCCAGACAGGTGAGGGGTAGATAACCTCGATGTTTGACTGAAGGCACAGACAGACAGAGCTTAAAACAGAGGTGCTCGTCCAAACCTCATCCACAAGGGACCTGGGGCTTTCAATTAAGGTGCCCAGAGTAACCTGCTCAGTGTAGTCTAAGCTATATAGAGAGTGATCATCTATAGATGTATCAGTAAGGTTGTGCCTAACAGAGGAGAGAAGTGCACTTACAACATAGATTGGAATGGATCTGGGAGAGAGAGGCAGAGTTAACTTGTGCAGAGGTGTGCCAAGCACACTGAATCAGCCATAAAAGGCTGAATAGTAAGGCGGGTTTGAGTGCAGAGTAGGAGAACATTGTGGTTCGAGTTCAGAAGTGAGAGGCGCCCAGAGGCTGCCTAGCCGAAGTTCAACTTCAACCACCATCAAACTCCCATGGTCATGTGACCATGTGGAAGGCGCCAAGTTCTTATCTTAGTCGAAAGCAAGACTCGGTGAAGCGCACTTGATTATAACACCCAGAAGTTCAGCAACAAATTATGAATCAGATTGCAAGAGTGTATATCGAGTTGGTCGTAATGAGCGTGGTGGTAGTACAAAGCATTAGTGTGTAAGTAAAAAAGAATTAGATGATCGTAAAAGAGTCCAGATATCAGCGAGCGGAGGGCAGTGCAGAAGAGTATGGTTCTTGATATGTACATAGGGATGTCCACAAGATACCAGAGAAACAAGGTAGGAGAGAGCGAGAGATGCATAGTGGTAGTGGGTATAAGTGTAGCACGACATACATGCACAGGGAGATGACGATCTGCAAAAGACAACCAGCGCACTAGGTGCTCTCCTCGACCAACACATGAGAGGCGATCTTCACTGCACCGCAGAGGTTGAAGCCAATTGAAGGCTTGTCGTCACTGCCACTCTTACTAGAGTAAGAGTTGCAGGTGAAGTAGACGACAGCCAGATCGTGAGGCTGGAGTGGTTCACCACCCTCACCAGGAAGGCAGCGAGGGAGCAACTGAGGCTGGTTGAGGAGATAGCTCTCGACTCTGTCTTCCTTCTGGAAGTGCGCAGTGGCGTCCCAAACTGGGTCTGAAAGCACAGAGTAAGCACTTGAAGCGCTTCAATGTGTGTAATGGAGAACTTACAGGTGGCATCGGGTGAGTGATACGACTTCACCGTGTCACTCAGATCCTTGATGGGATCAGACTGCCGCACAGAGCGACTAGAGGAACCCACTTCCTCGTCGTCCTCATCTGAGCTGAGGTGGATGCTCTTCGCTGCACTCTAAATTAGTCACTGCATCAGTGCAGACAAAAATATGCACTCACGGACAGGACCAGAGATTGACCCTGTGACAAAAGCACCGACTCAGTATCGCAGAGCAAATAGAGCAAGCAACTCACTTTTAGGCCGAGGTGTCATGGTACTTGCACGTTCAGGGTTGTGCAACGCAGAGTGTGCCCAGAAGCAACCCTGGCTAACAAGCTCATCATTCTTCAAGAGCGCAGTTTCACCAGTGGCGATCGTTGCTTCCTGGTAGTCCATTGCACGAAGGACAAAAGGACCCAGTCGAGCATTATCAGCCTTGCCGAGCAGCTCAAGGTGAATGCCTTTGCCGTATAACGACGTGGCACCAAACTGGAACTCCCCGTTGTTCTCCGTGTGCGCTCTGATCACCATGCCAACAGCATAGCCAATAGCTATGTTGTTGCCAAGAGCCAGGTTGTCGAAACACAGATAGTACGAGTTAGCCTTGAACTTGGAGACCTTCTTGAAGAACTTAGGGTCAGCACATCCAATATTGAAGACCTTCATGCCGTCGCCAGTGTTGGCCAACGTCTTGTAAAAGATCCTAGTGAACACCTGATGAGTATAAATCTGCAGGATTTGATTGAATTATACATACGTTGGATGCACCGTGGGGTAGTGCTTCGAGGTCAGAAGCCTACTAGTGGGGCTCACGTGCAGTGGGTGAATGTAGTTCACCATGTACGTCTTGCCGCTACAACAGAAAAGTCAGCAAAGAGAGTCCTAATTAGAATTAAAAAAACATGACTCACTCATTCTCAAAGTCAGGCAGCCCATGGCGAATGTTGGCGATCGTGGTGCTCCTGTCGATCGACTGCTGAACACCCCAAAGCTCGTGCGGTACCGATCTGTAAGAAGTGTGAGTAGAAGTTACTGCAACTAAAAATGACTCACTTTGAGGCCTTGTCCTTGAGCTTCTGCATGTCGAGAGGCTTAGGCAACACCCTGATAAGCAGTGCAATGTCAGTGAGAGCACCACTAGGGAGTAAGCTAGATAGAGTAACTCACAGGCGTTCAACTTTCACTTCCGACAGGTCGTGGTCTGGGTTGACGCAGACTTGTACTTGATTCTACACAGATGTTAGCAGAGATCTGAGCACTATAAATGAGAAGCTTACGAGAAGCGGGCCTTTTTTGTGGGAGACGTTCTGGAATATAGAAATATGTCAGAAGTGTGTACCAAAGAACAGGGAGAAGATGCGTACTTGAGAGCGTCATCACTGCCTTCATCTTCAGAAGACTTGGAACGCTTGCCTGCCGCCTTGAAAGCAGATACAAGACTACCACTAGCACGGAGGCAGTGTCAACCAGGCTGTCAGCTTGCACCTTGACGTTTCTCTTCTTGGTTGGAGTCGAGCTAGAGGGCATAATAAGCGAGATATCAAACACAAATTTGAGAATTGTACCTAGTCGAAGGAGTCCTGTCTTTCATCTTGATCGAGGACATCTTGCTTGCAAGCTTCTTGCTCGGTGTGCCACTGGAAAGCATGAGCAATTGTGTTCACTAACAAACTGAATACGTACTTGGTGGTGTGGTCAGGACTGAGCACGTAGAGAGCATCTGGGTTAGAGTCCTCGTCATCAATATCCATAGCGTCTTCAGCCCCCCCAGCTGCCTCCAACTCAAATTCAGACATGATGTCATCGTCTGAGTCCTCAGCCTGGGGCCTGAGTTGGGCTGCCTTGCCACGCTTCGTTGGCGTCAAGCTGGGAGAATATGTAAGTATACATATGATGTCACAATATACTGAACTTACTGAGTGATGTTTGACTCTGACTTGGTGCGACGCTGCTGACGCCCACGGGGTGTCATAGTGCTAGTACATATGAGTAAGAATGCATGAATATAAAGGCACATTGCTCACATCTCGACCACAGGCTTGGACGCTGAGGGGTGTCTAGGCTTTTGCCTATAACAAAGGTAAGCCAGTGGTTGAGCGTATAAAGGAATAGACTTACGGAGATGGAGACTTTGGAGAGACGTTCAGCTTTCCCATAGAAGGCTTCCTACAGCTGAGCGTGAGCACTAGTAGCACAACTTAAACAAATTACTTACTTCCTAGGCGTCTTCTGATTGTCAGGAACACGCACATGGTAATCGCCATCGTCAGAGGAGATGCCAGCCATCTTCTCAGCTGCTGGGATTCTCGACGAGCCCTAGCAGCCTGCAGCTCCTTCACCTTCAACCTGAACTTGAAGTAAGCAAGCAGTGTAAGCCAAGTAAATAAGACTCACGAGGTGTCGATCTCGCAGTACTTGTCCTGATCGGAACCTTCATCCTCTGAAGTCTCAGAGTGGCGATGAACGTCATCAGCCTCGTTTGAAATGAAGCTTTTGGTGATCCTGAAACAAAGTTAGTAACAATAGTAGTCTGAGAAGTGAATGTGCGCACCGTTGAACCTCTTTCTCATCCCCAGCCAAAGGTGTAGAATCCTGGTGAGCCTGAGAACGAGTGGGAGTAGGGGAGAGAGAAGGGTTGCGCTTGGTCGTAGCTGAGGCCTTGCGAGATCCAGTGCCACGCCTTCCACCGCGACCAGTGCTTTTGGCAGTCTGTCTACCAGACGGAGCAGGCTGCCGCTCAGCCTCATCACCAGAAGCCTGGGGCTTCCGAGGACGACCTTCTCGAGGCTTCTTGATGGTGCTGCAACCGTGAATGAGTATAAAGAATATGGAACACGTATGGTAGACACATACATCGTCAAGGTCTCCTTCTCCTCACCCCCATGATCAGGGGAAGGGGAAGGGGACTCATCGCGCGTGATGGTACGGGGGAGGAGGCAGCTCGACCACGCTTGGTTGGGGTTACTGTTTTCTTAGACCTATAATAAACGTATCAGCCTGGCATACGCAAATGAAAGGAATCACATACGTGGCAGAGGCGCGAGTCTTGGCCATAGTGAGTGTATAAAGGAGCGGGTATCGGAAAGGAGTGTGATTGGGAGTGATTAGAGGAAGCGAGAATGAGAGCAAGAAAGAGAGAGAGAGTGTGTAGACGACAGCGCGTCTGCCTAGGTTTATATACAGCACTGTGATGCTGTTTATTTGTCCCTTGGTCCGTGCGCATCGTCCCACCAGCCCACTCTGAATTTCTCAGCAGTTCCTGAATCCGCCTATGCGGCTATTTAGACCGTCGGCTATACTCAAGCGAGTCTGCCAGCACTTGGCTCACTGTTGCATAGTCCCATACAACAGTGACCCTATACAGTTCAGTGACATGTAGCAGAAAGAAGTAGCTTTTGAATGACACCCAACATGCAGAAGAAGGGAGGGAAGACACGGATGGGGCATTGAAAATAAGCAAAGTCCGATGTTGTACCGCTCTTCGATGAGCTTATCCCGATCAATAATGACGCACCGCCAGAGCACGTTCCAAAGAATCTAGACCATGCACAAACAAACAGTTGGAAATTCCTGTTCACGTGTTGAGAAACACGGAGATTAGACGAAAAGGGGATGAAGGGCTCCTCACCTTCAACCAACTATCGCAAACATCTACTTCACCTCCTCTTTGCTATCCCCTATGCTTTACGCTGCTCAGCTGGCTTTAGATGAGGCCAAATATGGTGAGTAGAGAGTGTTTGGTTCTGACTTGATCTAATGCGCTTCTGTGTGGTGCAGCGAGAATGCTTAAGCAGGAGATGTCAAGCCTAGTGGAGGCAGAGGCTCCGTACAAGCAGCTTCAGAGCATCAAAGAGGTGAGTTTTGGATTGTGCAGCACTGGAACAAATCTCATACCGTGCATGGTAGCCCAGCATTCTCAATGCGATTGGAGAGGTGGTGGACGTGGCGAACGGAGTGCGGATGACGCTCATCCATCAACGAGCGTCTCCTGAAGAGCCTATCGAGGAGCTTATCCTGTCGATCCAAGGATATCTCGTAGAGGCCAATCTCCCTCCTATTCGGAAGATGGAGTGAGTTTTGTGTATTGTGATGCGTACCTGAGTTCACCTGTCTGCTTCCAGTGTTCCTCGGTCCAATCATCGGATCATTGGTCTTAGCCAGTCAGTCGTTATCTCTGGCCTTGGTGAGGGCCTGTTCCAAGACGCGGTGCAGGGTGCGGTCTGCGTCTACCAAGTCTATCAGCGCCTTATCGAGACTCTTCATGGACGACTTCGAGAGTGGACCCCTTTTGATCGCTCAGGCCACCTGGCTATCCAGTTGGTAACCGTCTTCTGAGTAGGGGAAAGGAGGTTGGAGACGATGAGATTGTGGACTTGGCAGATGTCGTGGACCCCTTCAATGTTCTCCGACCAGCTCTGCGTGATCATGTTCACACTACCGACAATGCAGTTCAGTACTGGGAGCGTACAATGAAGGAGTCCAAGTACGTGCCAGGTTGCTATGAAGCCAACCATAGCTGACGTTGTTTAGGGCAACATACACAAAGATCAAGCCTCACCAGATCAACATCTCAAACCTAGTGAGCTACAGATCGCTTTCACAGTGGTTCGCCTTCCCCGACAGGAGTACGTCTTTGTTCCTAAGCTACGTTCGATCTGTGTTCTAGACCGTACTGTCGAGAAGGTGAGTGCTATATGCTGATTCTCACTTGGAGCGTGCTTGCTGATTTGATTATAGGACTTCAATCTAGCTTCAATTGCAGCTTTGACAAAGCGTGCCAAGTCTCCCAGACGTCCTTTGAAGCGCAAGGTCGGCTACGGCGACAGCGAGGAAGATGACACAGACTCTGTGTTGAAGCGTATGCGCTTGGACGATAGTGACTTGCAGGACAGCGCAGTTGTATCTCAGACAGATGTGCCTATGGCTGGGTAGAAGATGTAGAGCTGGCATGTGCTTCTTCTAGTGAATTGAGCTTCTTTCTCGGTGCATGAATGTGAATGTGAACACGTGATTCTTGAATCTGAATATCGACTTGAATGAGAACACGTGATCTTTGAATCTGAATATCGAGAGACCATCGAGAAGCTATCACTGCAGCCATCATTCCAACCACATCCTATTCATCCACTGCACACATCATGGAGACTGGACTCTTTCCACACACCACCTCTTCTGGCCAGATCCTTAGCAGTCATCGCCAGTGCCAACTCTCTGTATCGGACGTTCGTTGGGACTCCTTGACCTCCTACGGCCTGAGCAAGCTCACACCATCCGTTCTCCGTTGGATTGGCGGCATCAAAACCGATGACCGAGGCATGCTATACCTGGATCGGAACATCCTGATCGCCCTTTGGGAGCGGTACCACCACTTTTATAGCTCCGTAGAAGCCGCCTGTCCCCAGCTTCGACCGTCGATCGGTGGATCAGCTGTTCGGAATCCCAGAAGGGACAAATGGCACAAGTTCGAGAACAAGGGGAATCCTACCACCAAGAGATGGTCAAAGTTCCTCAGCGATGTGGAGAAACTAGGCAAAGTCCCGTTCGAACACCTGTCATGCGAATACCCTGAATTCTGCCCTCATCCCAACGCCGATCCCCATCGCTTTGAGACCAGCCTCTCTCAAGTCCTCTATTGCTTCCACTCCACCTACACCTTCTGCATCCATCTCTGCCTTCCCAGATTTCCATTCCCATTCCGAACCCCTTCCCGAGTCACTCCCCCCGGTTGGAACTGTGAGCTCTTCTACCTACAGCCACCCGGTCAGCTCTACTGGGGTCCAATCGAGAAGACGGAGGCAGACTTCCCTCAGAAGTTTCAGCCGAAGAAGCTCCTGAAGCTGGAGGGGGAGGACTACGTTAGGCTTGCCGCCATTCACACGGTTACGAAAGAGCGACTCAGAAGGCTGGAGTTGTCGGAGATGGAGAATTGGCGCAAGGAGACAGAGAAGGCCAGGGAGAAGGAGACGATGAAGGACTACATGGAGAGAGTTGAAAATCGGGTACACCTGGTGGGCAAGCTTCTTATCGAGCTTCCACTTATCCAGACTAGGTGCAGGATGGAGACGTCTTCAGAGGTTCGTGTTATCTTGCATGAGAAGGATGCTATAGTGCTATTGGACCCTTGGCAGAACGCAAACACTGTATACCAGATCTTCTCTTCAGTGCTTGGAAAGACTTGCAGTGTATGTCGTTACGGAAAGTCCTCTGACTGGTTCTCTTTTTACGGCAAAGTCAAGCCACAGGTATCAGACGATGGTGTTATATCAGCTGTACTTGTCTCTTCAGTGTAGTGTTACTATAAGGTTGTCTAGCACATACTTGGTCTCTTACACACCATATGTGTATCGTCTCTCATATGTATAAGCTTATGTTGCTTAGATTCAGACTAGAGACGGAATACCAAGCTTGCCACACAAATAGCACACTTGGTGGAGGAGATGGGCGCAAAAACAATGGCGCAAGCAATGGATACAGAGCAGATACAAAAGAAACCAATCCCTAGGGGCCCCAACAGCAAGCGCTCCTCCAAATCCCTTGAGAGCGACCTAGAGCGAACAAGCGAGCTTAACAGCGATATAGACGCCCAGCCGTACGCTCCAGCATAGGTTCCCCAAGGGAACGTGAAAAGGGAGAAAGAGTCAAGTTAGTAAAGTTCAGAAGAGCGCGAAGGCTGCATAACCCCTTCCCACACTCCTGTCGCGACTCAGGAGCGAGGAAGAGGCATAGCAGCCTCCATAGTGCGCAGAATGAATGAGACCAAGCCAAAATGAACTAACCTGCACGACAAAGATAACACAAGATGGTGCAACAAGCCTGGAAGAAGGGTTGTATTAGAGAAATTGAATGAGGGATAGAGCAAAGAGAGACGCAAGGACTGACCTCAGCACAACAATCAAGAACAACTCCCAAACACAGAACACCTGTGAAGTTAGTTATAACAGGGACCTGAGAGGGGAGAAAAGAATGTCAGAGACAGAGCAAGGGAGGGAGCAATGCATAGAGCACATACTAGGACACCAAAACCAAGCAGAACTGGCAGAGACAGAACCCCAGTCAGAGCAGACATCAGGGGGCTAAGACAGGGAGAAAACCAAGTCAGAGAGATGGAGGAAGGGAGGGAGCAATGCAGATGAAGAATAAAGTACTCACCAGCTCAGCAGAACCAAGCAGATCTCACAGACAGGACTCCAGTCAAGCCAGGCCAAACAGGGTCCTAAAATGGGAGAAAGGCATGTCAGAGACATGGAAGATGGGAGGGAGCAATGCAGAGAGAGAATAGATGACTCACCAGCTCAACAGACCCAAGCAGACCTCCCAGACCCAACACATAACCAAGGCAGAACCTAGAAACAGACAAGAGATAAAACAGGGAGAAACGAGAACAAGAACAGCTAGAGGACAAAAGAGGAGTGAGCACAGAATCAAGGAGGTGAGGGAGCACTCACCTGCTAGCCAGAGGCTAGCAAAATCTTGAAGAGAGGGACAGAAAGATCTCACACAGAGCAAGCTCTGTGCTCCAACGACCCGGCCACCCGAAGTGGCAATGTCGCAGGCATCGCTGGCTCAAGACCACCGCTCTAAATCGGTGCACCGAGTAGGCATGGTACAGGAGCACAGGGACTGGGGGGTGGGGGGCAGCCTCTCACTCAACGCTGACTCCGGCCGGAAGCCAGCGAAGAGAGTGGAGAGAGGACAAGAGCCCCCGAGAGAAGAGAGGGGATGGAGGCGACGATTTTGTGTGCAGGAGCCACTGCTTAGTAAGCATTCCCACACAGGCTGTGAGGCCCAGAGGCTGCTCTATGTCACCTCCTCCTCACCCTCGACCTCCCATCCAGCCGTCCGACCACCTCCACGACACCTCAACGTGCCCAAGGCGTCCCAATGGACGCCCTGGGCTCGATTCGTATCCTGGCGCCGCGGTACAAGACCGCGGCACCCTTCGTCTGCCGGTGAGCCCCGGCCCCGTCCCTCCTGCGCGATGCCCCGTCCCACCTCCCACAGTGCGCCGCACGCCCCGACCGCGTACAAGACACGGCGGGGCGTGTCCTCGCCCTCCTCGGCCGTCGTCCGCGCCCCGCGCTCAAAACGGGCGGCCGTATGGCCGTCCGCGCCGCGCGCTGCCCGCCCTCCTCCTCCTCCTCCTCCCGCCCTCGACTTCGCCGTCCTGCCGCCGTCCTGCCTCCCCGACCACCTCAACGTGCCCAGGGCGTCCCAATGGACGCCCTGGGCTCTGCAATTCGCACCCCGGCACCGCGGTTCAAGACCGTGGCGCCCGTCTCGTCCCGGTGAGTACCTGCCCCGTCCCTCCTGCGCGATGCCCCGTCCCACCTCCCACAGTGCGCCTGCACGCCCCAACCGCGTACAAGACGTGGCGGGGCGTGTCCCTCGTCCCACCTCGGCCATCGCCCGCGCCCCACGCTCAAAACGGGCGGCCGTACGGCCGTCCGCGCTCCTCCTCCTCCTCGCCCTCGACTTCGCCCTCCTGCCGCCCTCCCACGTCCCCGACAACCTCAACACGTCTAGGGCGTCCCAATGGACGCCCTGGGCCCTTGGATTCACATCCCGGCGCCGGTCGTCCTCCCAGTAAGCCCCCTGCCCCTTCCCTTCTCCGTGCTGCCCATCCCCTCCCCCCACAGCACGCTCACATGCCCTAACACATACAAGATGTGTTGAAGTAAGTTCCCTATTGATCCTTTCTTTTCCCAACTCTGGATACCTCCAAATGTTTTAGTTACTCTGTATGTAGGATACATTTCAAATAAAACTCATTCTTTCCCCTTGCCTTTGCCCTTGCCCTTGAGTCTGGTGGCTAGTCTCCCCTCAGCCCTCCAAACAGGCTGCAACTTCAACTTCTCCTCATTCTCCTGCTCACACTCTGACCACCCACACTCACACAACTCCCAAGGATCCAGTACAGTATTCCCATGCTTATCCTGGGCCTTCAGCTCATGGTGCTTGGGGTATTTGGCAAAAAACCCCTCTGGCTTGTCCTCCAGCCTAGTCACTGTGATGGCATGAGAGAAGAAAACCAAGGCAACTCGGCCCCCAGAGAACCACTCAGGGCACTGGACATTGGGACCATTCTCACGGCTGAGATCTTGGCCTAGAGCATGCCTAGCAATTTTCCAGTCCCGAACCTTGTGGGCAAATTTGCAGTCCCAGCCAAGGATAATGTCTCCAGCACGGTACCTGCCCAACTCAGATTAGTGTTTGCTAATCTCAAAAGAAATGCACAAACTGAAACACTGCCCCAAGGGCAGGGAACTCCATCTCGCCATTATGGAAGAAACCAAGGGGAATAGTGAGAGTAGGCCCAATGTCACCATGGTCGAAGTGGAGGTCGAGAGGGAGTTTCCAGACAAGGGCACGTCCAAGCCAAGGTCCAGGGTCATGAGGGATCCAGCTCCCTGCATCAAACTCCTTCTGGTAGCGTTGATAGAGATCAGGATAGAAGACCTCAAACAGAGCACCAAAGTACGTGGCAAAGGGAGCAGAGAGGGTGTAGAACTTCTTTGTCACCTCAAGTCTATCAGACTTGGGGTTTTTGGGTGTCTTGAGATCGTTCTTGACTCCAATATCACTGCTTGGAGTCATTGTCTGCACAGTGTTAGCTCTAACTAAAGTACCACAGAGGCAGACTCACAAAGTGAGAATCCCCTTGCTGGGTCCAGCAATGAATGAGATGGCCCACTCCGGATCTCTCATTGCTCTTCTTCTCCCGTTTGCCTCGTTGGTATCGAAAGAGGTGAGTGTTGATGTCTTCTCGATCCCCCTCGTGACGACGATCCTTTTCAGGAAGGACAGGCTGAACATGGGAGGTGTAAAACTGACAGACTGCCAGCAACCTCATCTGCTCATCAAACTAGAACAAAATCAGACAAACAGAAGACATAGACAAGAGCAGCTCACAGTGAGAGCATCATTCTGGATAGAGACACCCTTATTTCTCAGAATATCGACATCCCTCTTTGTGCGCCCTTCATAGAGTGATTCAATAGGGTGAGGAGTATCCCCAGGTGTGTCCTGCCCAGATAGATGAGAAACATATAGGGTAGCACATTGAAAACTCACAGTCTCAGGGCGCCTACCAAGATAGTAGAGCACCCGCTGCCCCTCCGAGTCTTCAATGATGGTGGTGCAGTCAACAGACTTCTTTGGCTTGATCTTCTCCCACTCTGCATCCATGTCAGCCAACTTCTCCTTCTTGGTGGTAGAGCTAGGATAGAGCCTCATTGGCTTTGGAAGCTGGAAGACAGGAGCGTTGGCCAAGACTTCGTGGGCTTTAGCTCGACCTCGGGCTGCCCACTCCAAGACCTCCACTTCATCATAGACGATGTGGGCAGGGTCTATGACAGAAGATGGGAGTTCATTGACCTGGTGCTGGGGCAGGAATTTCTTGAAGGGCTTGAGATGCAAGAAACACACCCAAAAAGTAGTACTCACTGGTCTGGCAGGCTTAGCAGGCCTAGCAGGCCTAGCAGGCTTAACAGGCTCAGCAGGCTCAGCAGGCTGAGCAGGAGGCTGAGCAGGGCCAGGAGTCTATAGCTGTTTAGGGGGAATGTGCTGAAAAGAAGCCAAGTACTCACATAGTCTTTATCATCATCCTCATCCTCATCCTCATCATCCCCATCTACCCAATTCTCCACTCTAACCCTCTTGGAAGCCTGGGAAGGAGCAGAAGTCTGCAGCTAGTGAGTGAGTGCATGGAGAGAGAGAGAGTGCAAGATACTCACAAAGACACCTGCTATGTTCTCCTGCTGATCCAGATCCAAGTAGTCCAAGGAGGGCCTAGAGTGCTTAGGAGCCATAATGAGGGCAGATTGGTGTGCAGAGAAGAGCTAGGAGGAGATGTAGAGGCTGGATGGTGGTGGTAGGACAGAGAGATGGGCAGAGATAAGGTCCTGCAGATCTACGCCCGTTTAAGCGCCCATAAGCGCCCATAAGAGCGCACTTCTCTAGCTGGCTTGCAGAACAGGAAGAAGACCGCGAAATCAAACAATATTTGGCATGTGAGTACACCCAGACAATAGAAATCGAACACATCTTGTTTCATATCAAACGACCCAAAACTGACAGAGATAGAGCATGTACAACATCTCACTCAGTCAACTTGGCCCAGATTTCGAGAATTTTAACAGGGCGACAAAACTACACGCAAATGAGCAAGTATATACGCCCAGACAGTCGAAATCCAATGCACTTTGTTTGGTCCAAATCGGACGAGAAATGACTGAGATACAGTGTACATAACACCTCATTTGGTCAACTCGGCCAGAAATCGAAACTGTCATACTGGCATATTAGACAGCGCACTTGGGCGCGATAGGTGCGCATTGAAGCACACATTACGACACAGCAAAGTTGGAGAGATGCGTTCAAGAACTGCCTGAGATATAGCAACTTCAATGAATGCCTGGGCCGAGTCGCTGGGAAATCGAAACAGGCGTACCAGAACATTAGACAGCACACTTGGGTGTTTTAGATGCGTATTGAAACACACATTAGGACGCACCAAGTTTTGTGAGATGCGTCCAAGAACTGCTTGAGATATAGCAACTTCAATATATGTACAGGTAGAGTCGGTCAGATTTCCAGCATGGGAACAACTAGAAGAAACACATTGATTTTTGGCATCTGGGTGTACATGGAATGCCCCATTACAATGGGTGAAAAATTGTATCAAAATCATAGCAAACAACCAATATATTGGCCATCTTAGTGTATCTTTAGCTCAAACCAGGCAGACTTACAAAACACTGCAGACATCTTAGAATTTGAAGGGAGCTGGAACATCTACACCAAATACAGAAGGCATTCTGGCACATTCTATGGTGTACAATTTGAATAAAAACTGACAGATACAGAGGCCACTGAACATATAGCTTGTGCAGCCAGTGATATGGCCTAAACTATAACTTATAGGTCCTTCTGGTCACATTACATGTATACAACTATATACACCATCACATTATGCACCTGTCATAGCTGAGATTGTGTCAAACAGACTACATTTGAGCTTACAACAGAGGTTTGAACATATGACCTATATGCTGGAACTACTCCTATACCTCCAATACTGAATGGTTTTGAGTGCTTCTTAGACAATAGTAATGCAAACCAATGGCAGAATGCTCATGAATATAAACAGCATTTTAGGGAACTGACTAGAGGAATTGCATGCTGTAGGGGCTTAGGCATATACCATAGTAGGCAACTACCATTACATTCACTGACAAGACTCCCTATTGCTCATTTCAAGTCCGTTTTCTATGATTCAAACTACATTTAGTACCCCCATGTGGTGGTTTTCCAATGGTGTATGTTATATAAGCATATTACCAGGCACAGCGCTATAACACAGTAACACTACCTAGTACCAGTTGCTGCAATATAGCAGCTGCAATACACAAGACATATGATGACAAATACCACCTGGTGACCTTTCTGACGAGTGTTCTAATGCACCTACATATGTAGTCATTGAATCAGAAAGCAGCTTATAACTGGCCATACACTGTACAAGTGGTGTTCTAGTAGTGTTACTAGAACCATTCCACCACATCTGTGTCCTGTATCACGTGACATACACCATCGGATCCGCATTATTAATGTGCATCTAACGAATCGCTAATCATCCCAAACAGACACTATCTGAGCTTATAACAGCAGTTACAACATATGAGCTATATGTCGTAGACCCTATTAAACCCCACCCACTATGTATAAATGAGCACCTCTTTCATAATTGTACCAACCACTATGAGGACTAGGTTCACAAATATAATCAGCATTTTAGGGAATTGATCTGATTTACTAGTAGGCAGATGTGGGTGTAGTAGGCAGGGGCAGGGCGCTACAGCCACTGGGCGTCAAATAACTTGTGGAAGCCTCACTTTTCTGAAAGCAGCCCTTCAAAATTCGAATCAATTCCGATAAATCCTGAGTATATTCATAGTAGTAGTCCACATAGAGTGTGACTGAAGCCCTGAAAGAGCGCCCATCTCAGTCTAGTTGAATAGGTATAGACACTAACAGGCACTACAAAGTGTAGAAAGGAGTGAAGCGCTGGTCCCAGGTGGCAGTGCAAACCCAGCGCTAGTGGAACCCTACAGTGGGACCCTAACCCAGAGCTAGGGTGATGGGAGTAAGTAGCAAACCTATGTGTGGGAAGTGGCTGTGCTAGTCAAGAGTAATAGGAGTCTGAAAATTTATTCCCACAGGTCGCACTAAGGGTGTCGCACGTCGCAGCCAGAGCCCACCCCATAAAGAACAATTCATTCGTACCTCATCAATCGTAATGGCTGGTTCTACAACGGGATCCCCTGCACCCTCAACACTCAAGAAGTGCAAGTCTATCACTCTGTCAGCTCCGAAGGAGCTGAAGAAGCAGAAGAGTGTGGACGGGTCAGCTCGACCTAAGGCTGTTTGAGGATCTACCCGCAGATGATCCGGAGCCGTATCCGTGGATCAAGGCCATTCTCAGGCCTTGATCTGGATCCGCGCGGGTCAGATCCTCTGGAAGACCCGGACCTGTGGGAGCCGGACCCGCAGCTCACGGATCCACCCACGGATAGAGCCGTGAGCCATGTGGATCCACGGATACTGCACTGGATCCGCAGGCATAACAGCGCACTAATGTATTTCATTAACAGGGTTACTATGAACATTCAGTCGTAGCTGTAAACATGTGGGTGCGATGTGAGAGAGGCGGGCGAGGCGTGGGGGCGAGACGGTGACGTGGGCGAGCCTCCATGGGCGCGAAGCGCAAGCGCGAGCACAAGCGCGATGCGGGCGCAAGGCAGGCAACGTGCCAATGCGGGCGCGGTGGGCGAGGGCGTGGTGGGTGACGCTGGGGATGTGGGCAAGGTGGGCATGGGCGTGGTGGGCGACGCGGGTGTGAGGCGTGCAGGCGAGGGCGTGACGAGCGAGACACGAGCTGCACGAGGAGACGTGGGCGATGCGCGCGACGTGGGGTGGCGGGAGGGCGGATGACGCAGGTGTGACGGAGGGACGGGCAAGGGCGGAACAGGGAGACGATGGCGAGGTGGGCGATGCGGAGAGGGCGAGATGGGCGACGCACGGGCACGGGTGTGATGCGGAGTGCTCAGTAGGTGAGGCGTGGGCAAGGATGGGCGAGGGCGTGGTGGGCGACGTGGGGACGCAGGCGAGATTGGTGAGGTGGGTGACGTTGGGTGGGCGACGCTGAGAAGAAACGAGCGAGTGACCATGCAAGCGACGCAGGCAAGGGCGAGACACTGACAACGCGTGGGGGACGCGGGGGACGTGGGGAATGTGGAGGTCGGCGGGCGAGGTAGGTGTGAAGGACGCAAGCGACGGGGCGGGGGCGAGGGCGAGGTGAGAGATGCGAGCGATGCGGAGAGGGTGACGCGACGCAGAGAGGGCGATGCGACAAGGGGATGACGCAGGCTTGACGCGAGGTGGGTGAGGGCAATGTGGGCGAAGGCGACACGGAGAACGCAAGATGAGGGTGAGGTGGTGAGATGGTGGGCGACGGGAGCTCACCGTGACCCTAGCAATCACGTCTCTATGCAGGCGTCCGGGCGGACGTCCCGAGTCCTCTGCGTCTTGTGAGCGGAGACGGGACAGCCGTTCGGACGGGCAGGCGACGCACTGGCGGAGCCAAGGCGAGGGCGGCAGTGGATGAGCGTGCACAGCTGGCGCGCGTTTGATAAGGTGCGATGGTGGGATCCAGCGCGATGGTCGAGGGCGCGGGGGCAGCGCGCGGAGGGCTTGAAGATGGGCGGCGTGAGGGCCAGCACGGCTGGAACCTGGGAGGGGTAGGTGACGTGGGGTGCAGAGGGGTGGGGAGGACTCACCAGGGGAGAGAGAGGCCACGGGAGCTCACCGCGACCCTACAGAACGGCTGCGCGAGTGCGAGCGCGATGATGTGAGGTGGACGAAGGTGAGGCCAGGTGACGTGTGCGCAACGCGGGGACGACTGAGGACGACACGGACGAGGGCAACGCGGGGGCGAGTGTGACGCGGGAGATGCGGGCGACACAGCGATGTGGGAGGTGCGGGAGATGCGGGCGAGACGGGTGAGTGGAGGGGGAGGGAACATGGGGAGCAGAGGGCGCGGACTCACCTTGCAAAGGATATTGTGGCCGCGTGAGCTCACTGCGACCCCACGATGAAACTCCTGGGTTTAATGATAGCCTCACGCGCGAGCGCGATGACGCCGTGTATGGAGGGCGGAGAGTAAGCGGAGGAGGAGGCGGAGGCGGGGGCTGGAGAGGAGGACGGGCAAATGGCGCGCGGGACACTACGTTCGAATCTGAACATAGCCCGATCGGGACGGAGTCTTGCATGCAGATGCCGGAAACGGGCGCCAAAAGCGCTCGAAGTGAAGGTGGGTCATGTTTTACCTATAACTTAGTCACGTCTTCACCAAATTACACATAAACTACATCGTTAGAAAGCTTCTTCCAAAGGCTTTCCAATGATACGGTATTTACTAGACTTCTGGGTACATATGAGCTATTACCTACGGATTTGCGGATAACCCGTGGATAGACCCGCAGACCCGCAATATTTTGGCCCCTTGGATCCGGAGCCGCTCGGAGCCGGAGCCGCAAAGAGCCGGAGCCGCCCGGCTCATGATCCCCGGCTCACGGCTCCGGATAATCGGCTCATGACCCGCGAAGTGAGCCGGACCCGCGAACAGCCTTAGCTCGACCACAGGAGGCCCCTGAGGCAGAGGATGCCAGGTTCCCAATGGGCAACTCGGGCATGGAGGACAACAACAAGGAGAGCGAGTGCGAGGTGGAGGTGAAGCAGGAGGAGCTGGTGGTGGAGGGTTCCCTCTTCAAGATCACAGAGAAACACACTGGTATGCCCCTCGTTTATCGCATGTTGGGAACTTATTAACGACCTTTTATAGGTGACGGAGAGGCGGTCGACACCGCTACCCGTGACTTCAAGGAGATTGGGTGGAACGTTAATGGCCATAATGCCATGCTTGTGATCCGGAGTGTCCTTGCTGACTGTGACACAGTCACAAAGATGCTCCACGAGACTGAGGATGCGTTCTAGAAAGGGCAGCCCATGCTAGCTGTGCGGAGGACGTTTACGTCCGCTATGCGCGCCGAGGGCGAGGCTCCTTACGCGGTGCTCTTCACCATGGACAGGAACTCCGGCCCGCTCCTCCCGTAGCTGAAGTCTGTGGCTCTCGTCATTAACGAGATCCATGGTGGCATGTTCAGCAGCCTGAGAGCCTTCTGGCCCCCGCCCCTCATCAATTTCATCAGGGCTTTCTGCCCAGATGTAGAGACCACCACCGCATCGATGATATGGCGCGTCAAGGACGTCTGGTTTGAGGGGGTCGTAGACGAGTGCCTGAAGGAGCTCATCGGAGTCCTTAGGCTGAACTACACGGTCGGAATCGCACGAGAGTGAGTTTATTCACGTCACGCACAGATTTAAAGTCACTAACAACACTTTTAAGGGGGACTCGCAGATGAACATGTGGGGCAAACACGCACTTGTCCGCATCCTAGGGCCATCCTTACCCAGACAGGACATCCGTCTCGGCGCGCGGTTGTACCGTGTGTTCCGTTGATGTGCCTACTGCTAGGTGGACAACGAGAAGGGGAGCGCACACACTCACGTGGAGTGCCCACGCCTCAAGGCCAAGAACAAGACTTGCGCCAAGTGGGAGCTCCAGCCACTCACGTGGATCAACAGGTTCCTCCTTCAGGTCAACAAGCCCATCAAGAAGCCCATCGAGGTCCGCATCGAGGAACTCGAAATGCATGTCATGCGACTCGAGGGCCAAGTTGTGGGGCTCTTCCTCAACAAGGCGTAGTGGGCCAACATGGTCCAGGCTGCAGCCCCCTAGCACGCCGCTGGACCATCGCACATAGGCCGCAGGAAGCAGCACGTGGGTGGCTGAGGTTCCCAAGCAGGCCAGGGCCAGGGCCAGGGCCAGGGCCAGGGTGAGGGCGGATGAGGTGGAGGTCGTGGTGGTGTGGTGGGTGGCCCATCTGGGTCAGCAGGGCCCACCGCGTAAACACGTACATTCTTTAAGTCTCGGTCAATTGATATGCTGTGCGGTCTCTATGCTCTCGATAATGCCGTATGTTGTTTTCTTATAGTCAAGTAATACCGTAGCCATATAACCATTGAAGTCCTATCGCATCGTATGTTGATGTGGCTCTAACGAAAGTGTGATAGACCGAAAATGAAGGACCTTACAAACGGAATGATAGCGACAATGGCTATTAGATTGAATGCTAAGCTCCAAGTAAGTAGTAAGTACGTGTCCTAAGGACAAGACTAAGGCCGTGCCTTAATACTCATACTGTTACGATCGCGGACTCTAGTACGCTGCCTCCCATGTAATTTCTACCAATAACCCCACTCCCTAGATATGCAGACCCCCTAAATACCTAGCGCACCCTGACTCATATGTACTCATCTCTACTCACTCAGTCGCGTCATGACTCCCTGATCGTGTCCAGTCACCCTGGATCATTGCGACTTGGACTACCTCATATGGACTTGTTGTGACTTGTAGATAATATGACTCCCCCACTCCCTCCCCTGTATATAAGGGGAACGCCACAGAGCACTCCCTCCCCAGACTTGAATCTCCTCTGTACTACTACGTCTACTTGACTACACACAATCTCACTCTTTGTCGCTCGTACACTCACTCGATAGCACGCAAGCGCTCTGAGCATCGCCACCATAACCACAAGGCGCCTAGGTCATATTCCAGCCGGAATAAGCCCTTAGACGTAACACATACGAAGACACCATAAGTAATGTTAACGAGTCCTGGTAAGACAAGACTACAGCATTGCTGTAACGATCCGTTGAACCCGACTTGAGTAAGTACTAGAACGAGATCCAAGTGTCAGATTGTAGTTGTACTACAGAGGATTAATATATCGATTCTAAAGTGGTATAACAAACCTCATGAGCGGGACTTACGAGTGATTGAAACCACAGTTCAAAAGAGGATAGAGACCGATTAAAACTGAGTCTCAGAACCCCAAAGGTTTAAAGACGCGAGTAGGAAAGGATTGAAGACTGCAATACAATCTGAAAGCGGACTAACACTAAGTTTCTTAACGAGTAAAGAAGTCAAGTAAGCCCAACGAGTTGAAGTCCCTAGTTCCTGGGTAAGGCTGCTTGAGGATATACCCGCAGATGATCTGGAGTCTTATCCGTGGATCACAGCCACTCTGGGGGCTTGATGTGGAGCCGCACAGATCAGATCCTCCGGAAGAGCCGGAGACGTGTGAGCCGGAGCCTCAATCCGCGGATTGAGCCGCCAACTGAGCCGCACTCAGTGGCTCAGTGCGGTTCAATGAGCCCTGCAGATCAGTATCACTCATTCAGTTGGATTTTAGATGACACACAATTGAGGAGAAGGAAACATATTTATATCTGTATACTACAACTACAACCTACAACCTACATACTACATACAATACAAGAGATGATGGGTGGAAATGCGAGCTATGTGGGGCAGGTGAACCACACGGGGTGGGCGACACAGGCAGGACAGTGCCACTGGCATGAGGCACAAGGGCGATGGCCCTGACGCAGACACAGGCGGGGGATGGGGGCACAAGGCAGGCGCACGGAGGATAACACAGGCATGATGAGGGCGCAAGATGGGTGACAACGTAGGGGCAGGTGACACGGATGTGGGCGACGTGGGGCAGATGGGTGAGGTGGGCGACAAGGAGAGGGCAACAAGGGGGCAAGGTGGATGACGCCTGCGTGACAAGGAGGCAGGCGAGCGTGATGCGGGGACAAGGCGGACGAGATGGGAGACTTAGGTGAGGTGGGTGACGCAGAAGACATGCAATATGGGCAAAACAGCAGAGGGTGACCCAGACGAGACCGATGCAGATGGGCGTGACACGAGGGCAAGGTGCGTGGAGGGTGAGGAACACGTGGAGAACAACGATGAGGTGGGTGAGGATGTAGGGAGCAAAGGGGAGAATACACCAAGGGAGATTGAGGCCGTAGGAGCTCATCCTGGCCCTGTGACAAAACTTTTGGCCAGGCTTAAGAGAAGCCCTGCACGAGACAGGTGAGATGGACGTGAGGCGCACGCATGAGGGTGATGTGGGGTGATGCGGACGACACGGTGGCGAGACAGATGACATGGCAGCTGGAGATGGTATGGATGATTTGGAGCAGAGTCAGTGATTGAAGGGCTGTCGAAGCCATCAGCTTCAATCTCTATCCCACCAATCATCTGCCCAGTTGGCAAAGGGGGATCAGGTGTGATGCCGAGGGTTTACAGCTGAGGGTGCCTTCTACAACATGGTCAGCTGATTCTGAGTTTGCAGAGTGCAGCACTTCTTCAATTCATTCACAGCAACTGCCATACAGGATTTCTTTTAGGAACTCTGTGAATCCCCAGCCAGACTGCTGACACTAAAGCATTGAAGCCCGTGAACATGCACGCTGCAGAGCACACAGAGAGCACATGTTAGGCACCAGTACCTTCAGCATGCGAATGTTTTAATTGTTGGGCTGTCCACAAATTCTTACAGAACCAGACTGCTGGGACCTGGGATGACAGAAATATATAGAGGGGCTCAATAATGCATGAGCCACAGAGTTAGCTGAGCACTACCTCCAGGTACCTCTATCTCCCTTCCACCCTCTTCAAGCAAACCTCCTGAGTGCCCCATCCATGCCTGGAGCTGAATGTCTGTTTTTGTCCCTTCAACCTGCTTGGTTTGATGCGAACGACACTTTCAGAAATGCCACCCTCAGTTACACCTGCTTCTGACAAACGTCCCAGGGGCCGATGCCCACCAACCAAGGCAATCACCCACCAATTCAAAACGACTCCAGTGCCCTAGACACGCCAGAAGGTGTATATTTCACTGTCTTTCTTAATGCAATGTTGACAACACTCCCAGACATACCATCAGTGGTCATGGCCCCACCTCTGTCTGGCGTTCAGATGTCCCTTAGTGAAAACAAGGCCAATGCCACAATAATAGCCCTCAATAACACCATGATGACATGCCTCAGGGTTGGTGTTATTGAGTTCCTTCAACAAGAAAATGAAGTGCTCTGGAATGGGCTCATCACCATGTCCATGGAGCCCATAACAGCCAACAATGCCCACCAACCTCCTCCTCCTTCAGAACGATCCCCGTCCTGGGATAACAGGTACATATCTATCATCCATCACTGGATTGTATCTAGAAGTTCCTCCCTATCGACATCTCAAGAGTCACTGGCCCCAATGAAAACCCCCAAACCACTCGAGGAAGGCCAACATTCAGCAACTCAAACATGGATCATGCTCACCATTGAAGCAAGAGAAGAGGAAGTCGTGATGGGGTATAGTCGTGGTTTTGGGGCAAAGGTTGAGGCTGGTGGTGCTGAAAGTGTTTCAAGTTTCGAGCTTCTGGTTCTTATATAGCATGTTGTTCAAAGTCCCATTGCATTGATGGTGCAGCCGCAGGGCTTGTAACTTGAAGGATACCATTTGGTTTCACTCATGGTAATGGCAGTACGCGCTTTACAGTGTTTGGGTTTGTCCTTGACGTTGTCAGAGATATTATCAGATAGTAGGGCTCCGTGTTGTTCTTCAAGGACTCTTTTGGCTACTGATGTGCAGTCAAATCTAGGAAAAGTCAACTAGGGGTGAGGGCAATAGAGCGAGCTTGAGTAGGCGTAGGACACAGGAAGTCGAAGGGAGGATCAAGGAAACAGCTACGACAGGCTGCAGGGAGGTCAGATTGAGGGAATGCAGGAGTGCGAGGAGGACGATAAGGGGATAGATGTGGGGAAATGGATGAGGTCACACACACAGGCGCTGGGGAAGACAATGGTGAAGTCAAGGTCATGGGTGAAGGCGTTGGCATTGGTGAGGGTGAAGTCGACGGTGAAGACGAGACGAAGTGAGCACACTACATGTGTAGCTGGAGTGGGGAAGTGAACTGCATAACACAAAGTAAAGGCCGAGTCTTAATACAAGCAGCACACAGCATGAGTATGTAGTAAGGGACATTGAGCCATTCGTCGATTGAGTACATGATGACAGGAGTAAAGCTGGGGTGTGGAGGGGTCTGCTTGAGGATGGGTTTGGGTGACTGGGGCTTGGTGGCTTTGCGTGGTATAAGTGTTCACATGCAGATATAAAATCTGTCACCCAAACTGCTGTGATAGATCGCAGGAATTTCCATTGTGGTGACTGATCAAAACGGTGCGATGGTCTAATTGCCATCTTATGAGCTGCCAGAGGGCGGCGGTGGGCAGTGGGGTGGAACTGCCTATCGCACAAGAATTATGCCTCACTGGGGTGCCCAGACATTTCAGAGTGTCAGAGCACCAAACCAACAGGCACGGGGCATATAATTGCCACGGACATGCCATTGTACATATAGGCAGAGAGGCTGGTACGATTTATGAGGGCTGCATGGAGACCATGCCACACCAACTGCTGTCAAACATACCAAACCCGAGCCCGCCCCCCTCTGACACCTGAGAAGACAACAGCATGCGGCTGTGGCAGCGACATGTGAGTGTAGTGCAGGGGTGGGCAAGAGCACACACTTTGGCATACACATGGTGTTGAATCCTGGGCCTCTGGCGACTTCTGGATATCCCACACTCATTTTAGAGGCTAGAGGCTGTGGTGAGAAGCTATATCGAATAGGGGACCAGGGATATACAAAGACGAACCTGTTGAAATTGGTAATTCCACGCATTGTTCGTCATTTCCTATTCGGTGATATTGTCTCATACTGTACACACACGGACATACATACTATACGCACGTACCCTCCAAGTTTCGTATTCATACATCCAGTAGTTCTCGAGATACTCGTTACGTTACGTTGTGGCACTACAGCAGCCGCTTTAGGCAGCTGCTCAGGCGTCTACACAGATCCCTGCTCCTAGACTAGGGTTTGCTCCGCATTTTTCACCAGAGGCTGCGTGGGCTCTTTTCCTTTGTGTGTGTTTGCTTCCCGGTTGCTCCCCGCCGTCCCTTCCGGCTCCTGAGAGCACCAACACACCCCTATCCTCATGGGACATCATCCGGACGCACTCTGCACCGAAAAACCCCTATCTTGGTGCCATCCAGCCTCGCATTCGCCCCTATCCCCATTTCCAGTCGCTCTTCTCTCCCTCCACCATCTCTTGCTTGTTATCGCCCCCATCTGCGTCCCCTTCCCTCGCAATTTCAGCCCCACACTCCGCACCATGTCGCACTCATCCTTCCCTCGGATAGTGCCCCTACCAACTACCAACTACCCTCAATGGAGCGGCGAAATGCAGGCCTACCTCATGAAACATGACCTCTGGGGCATCGTTCACACAAAGGAGTCAGAGCCACCTGCCGATCAGGACACAGAGCGGAAGGATTGGAGGCGACGTCGCGACAAGGCAGCTGGTGAGCTCTTTCTGGCTGTCACCCCCAAGCAACGAGCGCATTTTGCGGGCGCACAAGACGACCCTATCGCCATGTGGAACGCCCTCGAGGCCGCACACGTCAAACGTCGCCCTGGTGCGCGATTCAACACGTACAACGCGCTCTTTTCCATCCGCAAGGAGGAGAACGAGTCGCTCAGTGCGCTGACATCCCGCATCGAGGAGGGCATGCGCACTGTGCAGAACCTGCGCAGCGCGAACTTCACCCTCGCCTCGCTGGACGACGAGCTGCAGAGCATGTGCCTCATCCGAGCGCTGCCCGACGCGTTCACATCGTTCATCGACGCGCTGCTGCTCAAGGACAACCTCAGCAAGGCCGACATCCTCGACGCCTTCCAGAACTACGAGCTCCACCACTCCCAGGCCGCGTCTTCGTCCCCTGCATCGTCCACTGCCCTCTCTGCGTCGTCCGCCCCTGTCACCTGCGAGTTCTGCGGCATCCCGAACCACACCATCGCCCAGTGCTTCAAGTTCCAGGCGGCAAAGAAGGAGGCTCAAAAGCCACGCCCTGGACGCAGGGAACGCGCGAACAAGGCTGACGCTTCGTCGCCTGGCCCTGCGCCCAAGTCCGACGCTCCTAGCGCGACCGAGTTCGCAGGCAACGCAAGTCTCCGCTCCCCCTCCCCAATGTCGCCTCTCCAGCTCGATGCTGATGTGCGATGGACCGCAGACTTAGGGGCCACGTCTCATATGACGCCCCATCGCCACTGGTTGCGCAACTACCAGCCTCTGCGCGTCGCGATCCGCCTAGCGGACAATCAAGTCGTCTACTCGTTGGGCGTCGGGTCGGTAGTCTTCAGGCCGGTGCTGGGAGGGCGCGATGCGCGCGATGTTGAGTTTACAAGAGTCCTACATGTCCCTGCGTTACGAAACAACCTCCTCTCTGTCCTATTCCTCACCAAACGTCGCGGTTTCACCGTCACGATTGGCTCGACGCGGATGGACTTCACTCTCAACGGCTCGACGCTCTTCTCTGCCCCTATCGCGGACAGCAACATCGCCTACCTCGCTGGCACCACTGTGCCCCTCCCTCTCGCACCAGCTGAATGCGCTGCGATCGCATCCACCCCACCTCTCGATGAGCAGCTGTGGCATCGCCGCTTCGCCCACTCGCACATCGATGGTGTGCGCAAGCTTCACGGGCAAGAACTGGTCACTGGCCTCACCCTCAAGTCGTCAGCACGCCCTGAGCCACTGTGCGAACCCTGTCTCGCCGGCAAGATGCACGCCAATCTATTCCCTTCGTCGTCTACACGCACATTGCAGTGCGGTGCCCTCATTCACACCGATTTGATGGGACCAATGTCCAAGCAGACGCACCAGGGCTACAAGTACTGGCTCATCTTCGTTGATGACTACTCGCGCTATGGCGTCGTGTTCCTGCTCAAGCGCATGGACGAGACGCCTACGTCGCATGGTTCCAGACGCAATCTGGCCAACAGATACGCTGTTTGCGCGACGACAAGGGTGGCGAATACATGTCCAACGACTTCAACAGAACCTAGAGGCTGTGGTGAGAAGCTAAGGAAAGAGCCCACCCAGCCACAGGTGAAAAATGCGGAGCAAACCCTAGTCTAGGAGCAGGGATCTGTATAGACGCCTGAGCAGCTGCCTAAAGCGGCTGCTGCAGTGCCACAATGTAACGTAACGAGTATCTCGAGAACTACTGGATATATGAATACGAAACTTGGAGGGTACGTGCGTATAGTATGTATGTCCGTGTGTGTACAGTATGAGACAATATCACCGAATAGGAAATGACGAACAATGCGTGGAATTACCAACTTCAACAAAAAGGAGATTGAATTGGTGCTGTGTGGAGGGAAGGCAAAGATAAAGGTCCACTTCGCAGAGGGATACCCTCGTGATCGGAACACGTTCCAAGTGTGAGGCAAGGTCTGGCTGAGCGCAAAGGACATTAGTGTTCACCAGGCAACATGCAAGCTTGGTGTTTGGTAGCTGGGACCCTACAAGGGGTCAAATGCGTGGGTGATAGGTCCTAGCCCATTGTCCCACACTCCCACCTATGCTCACGATCCACCCGGTCGTATATGTGGATTGGCTGCCTAAGTATAGAGGGAGCAAGGTGAACGGGTGATGAGTAACTTGACGAACCAAGTTCATAGCCATCCTCATTAAAGCGCTGTTGGTTGGAGTATGACACCTTTGAGGAAGGGAGGCAATTTGGGACCTCGTGTTCAGAATCAGAATCGTCACGTTTGGACTCTGCAGGATAATTACCAACCTGAACGCAGTGAGGAACTCCAACTCACTATCTGTGGCCTTCATCAAAGTTAGTTGCAAGGCTTTCACTGTTGACCCACACATATGCAAGAGAGGTGTGGCTGTCACTCTTCTTGACCGCTAAAATGGCGCTGTGATGGTGACAGGTCAGTAGCTGAGATGATTTCAGGTAGTCAAGCTTATGAAATGTGCTTCAGAGGCATAGTGGTTATAACAGGATTGGAGTTGGCCTAATCTGAGTCCCTCTGTTTGATGGTGTGTGTGATGTAAGAGAGCTTCCTGGTGAAGAACAAGCTCCACCAGAGTGGGGATGAACTGCTGGTGAAACCATGACCAGCTGAACCACTGCTTCCTTCACAGCCTTGTTGGGACCAAACTGTTCCAGCGAGTCTGTGAGTCCCCAGCAGAAGGGGGAGAAACATGGTTGCCTCACCCACTATGACCGTGATTGATGATCCCATTATGTTTTACAGCCCCTCCAACACTTACACAGAAGGTTTATGGCAGAGGGGTTTTGGTCATATTTGTGACCATCTTGTCAAGGTTTTCAATGAGGGGGATCTTTGTGCCATCCAGAAATGTCTCTTCAGAGTTAGACCATATGATTGTGTACCTCTGCAGGATGGCCATCTGAGCCCAGTACTGATCCACCTTGCCTTTATTGACGTCAAGGAGCTTCTTGTGTCTACAATAGGACAGATTCAGCGAGTTTAGGTTGGAAGAGGTCGTCAGTGACCTTACACCTAGTTATTTGTGAAATCTACTCCACTGACAACAACATCATGTCTAGCATGCTGGGTGTCTGTGACCGCTGGTGCTTGCGTCTAACTCACTCTGGAAGACTGAGTGTAAAATCAGTCAGTGCAGCAATCACAATGTGCATGTTCAAAACCCTGAACATGGTGACTCCCCAACTCCTTTTGACGTTATTGACGAAATAGTTGAAAGCACTGCCAGGTTGGCACACAATGCCAATGTGAACAGGGGTCGACAGAGGTGGATGCACGCAAGGGTTTGAGGAAGGTAGATGCTGTTGAAGTTGGTAATTCCACGCATTGTTCGTCATTTTCTATTCGGTGATATGGTCTCATACTCTACACACACGGACATGCATACTATACGCACGTATACTCCAAGTTTCGTATTCATACGTTCAGTAGTTCTCGAGATACTTGTTACGTTACATTGTGGCACTGCAGCAGCCGCTTTAGGCAGCTGCTCAGGCGTCTACGCAGATCCCTGCTCCTAGACTAGGGTTTGCTCCGCATTTTTCAACAGAGGCTGGGTGGGCTCTTTCCTTAGCTTCTCACCACAGCCTCTAGGTTCGTCTTTGTATATCCCTGGTCCCCTATTCGATACAGCTTCTCACCACAGCCTCTAGAGTGCGTGTGGGATCTACAGAAGTCGCCAGAGGCCCAGGATTCAACAGATGCGCGCGGGATGGATGAAGCCAGTGGGGCTGATGCAGGCAATGATGCAGCTGTGGGAGAGGCAGCCTGATTAGATAGTATGGCAAGAGGCAGGGCAGGTGGGGCGAGTGGGGTGGGCAGGGTGGACAACACAAGTGAGGTAGGCAAACCTGTAGAATGATGTAAGGGAAACTTGATGGGAGCGATAAAAACCTAGTGTACCTTGGAGCTCCTGGAGTAACTGCATCTGATAAATCCCACTTTTGGTTTTACGAGACCGGCTGGCAATGGATTTTCTAGGCCTACAACGAATTTCTTCAAGTCATGCAGACTCAAGTGTTGTAATTCTTGAGTAGACAACATCTCAACATAGTATATATGGCTGTGGTTATCGAGTTTTGCAGTTTATGAAGGCATTTACAATGTGCTTTGTGAATAGATTCATTGTCAACATGGTGCTTTAAGAACAGCAGGCCCGACACACTCTATAGTAGTGCTGCTCAATTCTCAGCTGGCCTCGCCATCACCCATTTTGCATCAGAATATAGCACCTTCGCATGCCCGAGCAGCCAGGAACCTGGCCATAGCTGCGTGCCCAGTGACACAGCCGCACGCGCGCACTCGGGCCATGCGCCTTCGGCAGACGCGCTGGCGCTTAGATTATTTGAGGTTTCTTGCTCTCCTTCGTGACACTCTGTTTGCCTGTGACATCCTTTCCTGGCCCCAATGGTTGGCGCTCTCAAGACGAAGGGAGACATTGAAGATGCGTTGACAGAGCTTGGGGGGAGCATGTTCATTGCTGCGGCTACATTTCAGCAGATCAAAAATACACAAATCGAGCCTCTATTCCACCATGGTAGCGAAGAAGAAGAGGATCCCCCGACCAACCATGGTGCTTTCAAGCTTCCATCAAACGACCCCATTATCCGCACTTTTCTAAGTGCCTCTGTCGCTTTGCTCACTGCTACCAATAAGATGCAAGAGAACACTGCACGAGGACCGTATTACCAAACTTGGTAGGAGTGGGCCATTACTGGCAGAAAACGATTAATGAGATGTGGAATATAATGAGAAGATATGAGAGACCTTAATAAGCTATATTGAACACCACTACTATCATTACAGACAAACAAGAACAGAATATATAGCAGAAGTGCAAACATTGTGAAAGCTAGTACTAAAATGCTTACTATGCAGATAAAATCCAATACAGTTACAACACCCTGTGTTATAGCTGCCCTTCTCAATTTGTGCTGTATTTGATTTTACAGAGGCAGAATACACACTATCATTCTACATTGCTAGACCACCTGATGAGGGAGGTTGCAGTCATATAGCCCCTCTGCATTGCTTTCTGATGTATATACAATCACCCCAAACAGATAAGAACTGAGGTCACAGGAGCTATCTAAAGTTAGTAGGCACCAGTGATCATATCTACGCTGTCCCTCATCTAATGTGTTTAAAGCCAAGCTGTAAGCATATTAGTAACACACTCTATAGTGGCTGCTTTCATGAATATAATCAGGATTTTAGGCAATTGATCGGATTTTAAAAAGCCTAAATACCCATTGTTACAACTAGACCTACATAGCACAGCCACATGTAAAAAAAAAGCGGCACTACCAGGGATTGAACCCAAGGATCTTGAGTCCACCACCTAGCAGCTGGACTAGCTAAGTTGAGCTGAGTTTGAAAAAAGCGTGCAAAATGAGCACCTAGCTGCACTTTCAGCCACTGTGGCAGCTGTGGCAGGGGCAGGAGAGGGCAAACAGTGGCAAACAGTGTCCATATATGGTGGAGAGGCATGGGAGAGGCAGCTGACAAAGATTGGGTAGCACAGCCCCACCAAAAGAGGATGGATTGCAGCTGGGGCTTGTGGATGGCAATTTTAGGTGGCTGGGTGTGGCTTGTAGTAGCTGGCAGTGGTGGCTGTGGCTGAGAGCGAAAATAGGCGCACATTAGCGCTGATATGCGTGGGGTGGCTGGTCCCAGGCTCTAAACATGTTGTTATGGACTCAAATGACACAACATGATGAAACAAAGTACATAGATTGTGTGTGCAGTACTACTAGTGCCTACCTACCAAAAATGAAGCAGATCCAACCATGGGAAGGGGATGGATGGCACGTAGGCCTTATGGATGTAGCAGTGCCGTGGGCGCCTCTGAAATAGACGCCCATGAGCGCTGTGCCAACCCACACCATCAGTATGTGCACAGAGGGGCCAAAAATGCCAAGTGGAGGATAAATGGGGGGTCTACAGAAAGAGCACACACCTGGGAACAATCTGGCATTGTTCTGAGAGTGATGGGGCATGGGAAGGGAGGCACAGTGACGTCAAAGTACTATGGGAATGAGCATATCAACAAAGGCACACTTACGTAACACCCACAGACACCCAAAGCTTACCAGAGAGTTGAAGAGAATGCTGAATCCATCTCACACAGAGCTCGGTCTGTGCTCCAACGACCAGGCCACCCAAAGTGGCAATGTCACAGGCATCCTAGGCTCAAAACCACCGCTCTAAATCAGTGCACCGAGTAGGCATGGTACAGAAGCACAGGGACTGTAGGGGGGCATCCTCCCACTTATGAGCGCTGACTTTGGCCAAAAGTCAGGCAACAGAGGTGAAGGGTGGATGAGAGTCCCCCAAGAGAGGAGGAGCAGTGGCAGCAGGGATGAGAGTGCGCTGGTGGCGCTTATGTAACAGTTTTCTCACACACCTTATTGGGCAACTGCATATAAGAACATTACTTACACTCTCTATCATTCATTTCTTGTCTGTTTCTTATGATTTAAATTATTTCAAGTACGTATTCAAAGTGGCTTTTGAACGGTATATGTTATGTAAGCGTATTTCTAGGAACAGCACTATAACCCAGTCAGCACTACCAAGCAGTAGTTGCTACAGCATAGCAGCTGCAATGCACAATACACAACATAACATATGTCATCTGGTGGCCCTTCTTAGAGGTCTCATAATGCATCTACATATGTAGTGATTGAATCAGAAACCAGCTTATAACTAGCCATACACTGTACATATAGTGCTGCAGCAGTGTTACTCAAACCATTCCATCACATCTGCTTCCAGAATCACGTGAAATAATCTATTAGATCCCTCTCATCAGTGCGCATCGAACGCACCTAAGATCACCCCAAACGGACATCATCTGAGCTCATACCAACAGTTACAACATATGAACCATACATCATAGACCTTGTAGTCCTTTCAGCACTGCATTGATATGAGCGCTCTGTTCACATCTAAACTGGCTACTATGTGGACTAGGTTCACAAATATAATCAACATTATAGGGAATTGATCTGATTTACTAGTAGGCAGATGTGGGTGTAGTAGGCAGGGGCAGGGCGCTACAGCCACTGGGTGTCAAACAACTTGTGGAAGCCTCACTTTTCTGAAAGCAGCCCTTCAAAAATCGAATCAATTCTGATAAATCTTGAGTATATTGATAGTAGTAGTCCAGATAGAATCTGACTGAAGCCTACAAAGAGCGCCCATCTCAGTCAAGTTGAATAGGTGTAGACACTAACAGGTAGTACAAAGTATAGAATGGAGTGAAGCACTGGGCCCAGGTGGCAGTGCAAACCCAGCACTAGTGGAACCCTACAGGGGGACCCTAACCCAGAGCTAGGGTGATGGGAGTAAGTAGCAAACCTATGTGTGGGAAGTGGCTGTGCTAGTCAAGAGTAATAGGAGTCTGAAAATTTATTCCCACAGGTCGCACCAAGGGTGTCGCACGTCGCAGCCAGAGCCCACCCCATAAAGAACAATTCATTCGTACCTCATTAATCGTAACTCACCTTCTCACAGTAATTCTTCATTGTCATCATCTGCTTTCCTAGTTCGGGACCGTAGGGCCCGAGTATCCTCAACACCACAAACATATCCTCACCAATGGTCCACTGGCGATCACCAGCCCCACCACCAGATGAAGGAGGACGGTCAGAGGTTGGCAGTGTTGCAGCTCCAGCCTTCATCTTGTCATTCGCCTGGGAGTTCAAGGCTGGCCGTGACTCCTGGACTGGGTGAGGAACCGCGTTCTCGTCGCTGCGACGTGGGCGCTTAGCGGCTGCGGACTCTGCGTCGTCCGAAAGAGGGTGTCGAAGTGAAGCGGAGGCTTCCCAATGGTGTGCATGTTGAGCTGGAATGCGGTCTGGGACTGAAATAGCGTGTGGCGCTGTGGGCTCTGGCCTGACGCGGTTGGGGGGACCAGAAGCAGTGCGATTTTGAAAACCGGAGAGAGTGCACTGGGGGAAACCATTGAGAGGCACGTAATCAGTGGCCACGTGCTGGCGCAGGGGGCTGGTGGCAGTATGTTGCTGCTGCAGTTCCACCGCAGCGTGGGTGTGCTGTAGTTGTGCTGCAGCACCGTGGGTATACCGCTGTTCGCCAAGTTGAGAGCCGAGGGCGAACGCACCCTGCGTCAGACCGAACGCGCTATGCTGATTCTGTGGGAGAGCAGTAGCATCGTGGCTTCCTAGTGGGACATGTGGCATTGTGTTCGAGACCAACTGCCACAGTGGATATATCAGCTACAGCTTCAGGAGAGGGCACAAGTGTTTCCACCTCATGGGAAGCTGTCCGAGTCTCTCCGTAGTAGTAGCGTGGCATGGGAATGAGTGGGAAATCACCAAAAAACTCGGCTTGGGCATTGAAAGGAGTGTATCTAGTGTCTGCACCCTGTCCAGGGAGCTGAGGGTATCGAGGATCACCATGCACGGCCCTTTACAGTGCAAACAGATGATCAGTGACGTCACTCACAGCGCCATGGCCAGACGTTGTGCTCACTGCATGTCATGTCTGTGATCTTCTCTGTCCATACTGGCAACCGATGAGCTGGAATTGCGAGCGTGGGAGAGGACAGAGTTGCACGCAAAGTCGAGAACGGGGCGACCACGGCACACACGTCTATTTCCACATCACCAGAGCACACGGCTATGGCCAGGTTCCTGGCTGCTTGGGCACGCGAAGGCGCTATATTCTGATGCAAAATGGGTGATGGCGAGGCCAGCTGAGAATTGAGCAGCACTAGTCCCTTCTTACGTAAATATAATCGGGAATTTAGGAAATGTATTGGATTTTACAAAACCTGAATACCCAGGTGTGCATAGCACAGTCACATTCAGAAAAAATGGCACTAACAGGGATTGAACCCAAGGCTTCTGTATTTCTTACTCAGTCACTAAGGAAGCTGTACTAGCTGAGCTAGGCTGAGTTTGAAATACACTTTTAGCCACTATAGCTGCTGTGTCATCAGTAGGAGGGGCAATTAGTGGCAAAAAGTGCCCATATATGAAGAGAGGTATGGGAGAGCCTGCTGATAAAGGTTGGGGGGAACACTCAAGAAGTATAGGAGCCCTTTACTAAAACATTTCATATAAACCACATCAGAGACAACTGAACTGCACCATTGGCTATTATAGTAGTTGTAGTTGTCTACAACTGTCCTTACATGTTCTTTATAGGACTACCATTGCCAATACCCAACATACTAAACCAAAACCAGCACTTTGCAGTGATTGTCTCCCACTATTGCTACTGACTATGTTCTATGTTAACCGTAGTTGCCCACTAGTATCAAAGTTGGCTGCTTGGACAGTACTCACCACATTGTTCAAATTTACTAGTCTGGCTTTGTTCACTACTCTGCTATCATGTTCAAAGTCACTAGTCTATTCAAAGTTACCAGTACAACATACTTACTGCCCTTCAAAGTGACTAGTACAAGCTTATTGACCACTAACTTGTACCCTTTTATTAGTTACTAACCCCTACAAAGTTGCTACCACATTCAAAGCCAGTACTCTGGCCTCACTTACTGCTTTATTTAGACTTACTAGTCTACTAGTTGGGCTTTATTTACTAGCTCATTCAAAGTTGCTACCATGTTCAAACCTACTAGTCTGGCTTTACTTACTAGTTCATTCAAACCTTCAAGTCCAGCTTTAATTACTCCGGATTTTTATTTACCACCTTAATCAAAGTTACTAGTCTGGCTTTACTTAATGTCCTTCAAACACACTCATATGGGCTTACTTACTATGTTCTACAATGTGGTTACCTCATTAAAAGATACTAGTCCAGGTTTACTTACTGCCTCGTTTAAAATTGCTATAACACTTAAAAGTTGGTAGTCCTGCACCACCTGCTGGTCTGTCCAAAGTTCTGGTCTGGGTTTACTTACAACTAGTCCAGTCTTACTTAAAGTCAACTCTTGCCTTATGTACCACTGCATTCCAATTAATAGTCTGGCCTTACTTACTACCACATTCAAAGTTACTAGTCTTGTCTCACTTACCACATTGTTCAAAGTCTACTCTGGGTTTTTATTTACTAGTCTATTCAAAGTCTAGTCCGGAGTTTTGCTTGTCACCTGATCCAAAGTTACTTGTCTGGCTTTACTTACTAAGCTGTTCAAAGTTGTTACTAGTCCACCATTATTTATCGACCTGTCAATAGTTGCTACTATGGTTAAAGTCACTAGTCCGGGTTTACTTGCCACCGTATTCCAAGTCACTATAGTCTGGGTTCACTTACTACCATGTTCAATGTTACTAGCCTGGCCTTACTTACTCCTCTAGGCAGTACTGACTGTCCCCTCCCTACTGTTATTGAAACCCTATTCAGTCGGTTACTACTGCCCTATTGCACACTTATTAGTTGTTAGAAAAGTTGTTCAAAGTCACTATACTCACTAGTTTACTTAGTGTTACTTGCTGCCCTTTAAAGTCACTAATCAGGTGTTACTTACTGTCCCATTCAAAGCTGCTACAGCATTCAACCTTAATAGTTCAGTCTCATTTACTAGTGTTACTAGTCCGGCTTTACTCACTGCCCTTCAAATTTACTAGTCCAGGTTTACTTGATACTGTGTTTGAAGCTATTACCACCCCATTCAAAGTTACTGGTCCTACCTTACTTACCACATTCTTTAGAGGCACTAGTCCGGGTTTTTACCTACTAGTCTATTCAAAGTCCCTAGTCCGGAGTTTTGCTTATCACCTTATTCCAAGTTACTAGTCCAGCCTTACTTACAGGTCAGTCCACAGTTCTAGTCTGGGCTTAGTTACTACACTGTTCAAAGTCATTAGTTCAGACATTGCTTACCGTATTGTTCAAGGTTGCTAGTCCGGGTTTTTACTTATCACCTTATTCAAAGTCGGTAGCATGGCTTTGCTTACCATTCTTCAAACATACTCATCTGTGCTTACTTACTATCCCATTCAAAGACATTAGTTTAGTCTTACTTACCCCTCCAGGTGGCACTTACTGGCTCCTTCAAAGTGTTTGACCCTGTTGTCAAAACCCTGTCCAGTCAGCTGCTACCACTCTGTTAAACACCTACTAGTTGGCTACACAGCTGAACAGTTCTCTACCAAGATGAAACATGCACTCTAGTTGGCTTTTTGTGAGAATGAAACCTTCAAAATCCCATACTCGCACCCAGAAACCAATGTACACTGTTAGTAGTGACTTAAACAAGGTCTAGGGTAGGTTTTTAGAGCTGCAGTGGTGCTTGGGCATGAGTTTCACAAAGTGCACATGCATGGCATTTAGCCTTTTTTGCATCAATCATGATCCAGGGACATGACAATTAAAGGTCTTGACTTGAAACAAGTACTACTCAATTTGTATGCTTCTTCTGCATTGATTTCAATTCACTCCAGCACACATCTTGGGCTGGGGGGCAGGTGGTGTGCAAATACTTTTGGGTGTGTAGGCTGTGGCTGTGCAAAAACACGATATTGTGGACACCACTTTTCACACCTGTGGTGGGACAGACCTGTGCACTGCCACCCAGATGCTCTTGCCTACTATGTAGGGAAAAGTCGAAAAGCGGCATTTAGAAAGGCGCAAGCCGATTATATGCTGCCTAGTAAGTAAGTAACCTGGGGTTGAGTAAGGACACCTCTCACCCGCGACCTCCGGGTCAAGGCATCTCACCTCTGGGTGAGTTCCCTAGGATTACCTTTGGGTTTCCTCTGTCTCTGAATCATCACTTTGATGTCATAGCTGGACCTCTCATTGTGTGTCCTACTGTCCTCCTACCATGCATTAGCAGGAAGACTGGATGGGGGATGAAGGAGTACAGCCCATGGTTTCTCTACATCTTTGAATGCTGAGAACTATGGAACCTGGCATCTATGCCATGGTTTCTCTTCTTGCTTTGTTGCTTTTCTCTATTTAAAAGCTCTTCATTGGTGGGCTTTCTACTAGAAGTGCTTACTGGAGGTGTATTGATGGTCAGTTTGTGTGTTTTTTGCTCTTATATTGCGCATTATGGGGGCTAGAGTGTTTCTTTCTGCACTGTCGAGTCGCGAACAACAGGGTGGAAAGGGGAACTCTAGCTCTTGCATAGATATGAAGCTATATAGAGTTGTACTGACTTCATTTCTTTACACCTTGGTTGTCTCCCCCTCTGGGGAACCTGCACTGGTTGTGCACTGGCCCAAGTCTGGGAAGGGTTAGAATGATGCTTATGTGTTGTATTTTAGTGACTTTGTGTTTGCTTTGTATGCAATGATTGCTTCTCTGGGTTATTCAACTGGTCTGACTATGAGTAGTAAGTAAGGCTAGACTAGTAACCTCAGGACCAGTAAGTAAGGCCAGATTAGCAGGTTTGAACAGGCAGTAAGTAAGCCTGAACAAGTATGAAGTAAAGCCAGAATAGTAAGCTTGAAAGGACAGTAAGTAAGGCCAGATTAGTGACTTTGAATAGAGCAGTAAGTAATGCCTGACTATTAACTTTGAACACCATAGCAGCCTTGAACCAGTCAGTTTGAAGGATAGTAAGTAAAGCGAGACTAGTAACTTTGAACAGGATTGTAAGCATAGCCTAGTAACCCTTTGAAGAGGCAGTAAGTCAGCCTGAGTAGCCAGACTAGCAACTTTGAACAAAGCCCAGACTTGTAAGCTTGAATAAGATAGTAAATGAAGCTGGACTAGCAACTTTGAATGGTGCAACAACTAAGCCTACGCTAGTTGCTTTGAATGGGGTGGTAAGTAAGCCTGAACAAGTATGTTGAAGGATAGCAAGTAAAGCCAGGATGGTGACTTTGAATAGACTTGTAAGTAAAAACCCGGAGTAGACTTTGAACAATGTGGTAAGTAAGGGTGCACTAGTAAGGTTGAACAGCTTAGTAAGTAAGCCCAGACTAGAACTGTGAACTGACCAGTAAGTAATGCTGGACTGGTAAGAATAAGGTGGTAAGTAAAACTCCAGACTAGTGAGACTTTGAACAATGCCCAGACTAGTAAGTTTGAACACAACATTGAATGGCAGTCAGTAAGCCTAGATTAGTTGCTTTGAATTGGGTAGCAAGTAAGGCTCAATGAGTATGTTTGAAGAATGGTAAGTAAAGCCATGCTAGCAACTTTGAATAAGATGGTAAGTAAAAACCCGGACTAGCAACCTTGAACAATACAGTAAGCAATGTCTGAACTAGTGACTTTGAACAGCGTAGTAAATAAGCCCAGACTAGAACTGTGGACTGAC